TGATGAGTCACAGCAGATTGACAGCCGTAGTGATAACGGTCAAAGGCGGAATTGGGACGTCGAAAGCATGGCTAGACGTGTTGACACCCGACAGGAGATGAGATAGAGACGAAGAACACACATGCAGAGATGTACAATCTAACAAAGTTGGATATACAGATCGCACCCTAACGCCACCCAAGCCATTCCATAGTTGGACCCAAACATGCTATTACTACAATGATGCGCGCACTCAGAAGACGCTGATGTAGTTACCAATGCGCTCCTTTTGGTTCTGCGCGATGCACTCGGCTATCCATGTAATGTTCCGGATTTCCTGCGTGTCATGTCAGTCATTACGTTTTCTTCAGGATGGAATCCACAACATACCTGCTCGCGCAGCTTCACCCATGCGTACACAATGGCGTGAGTGAACTGGTGAGTGAATGCAAGCTTCGAGATCTCCATTTCTTTCTGGTAAAAGAGATCCTCGAGACTCCTCGTCTCACCACCGACACCGCCGGCCATGTTGCCCACACCACCGCCACCTCCACTGAGGCCGGTCTGATCAAAGAACATTTTGTAGTCGGCAACACTCTCAACAGCGATTCGCACACCCTCTACATCGTCCGCTCTCGAGAGCATTGTGGTTCCCTCTGGGTATAGCTTGCCGAAGCCTGGGTAAAGCTTCTTCCTGTCTGCCTTGGACAGCTCGGTACCGAACGAGTTGAGGGAGATGTTGATGCTCCTGCGGTCGGCCTCGAACTCCAAAACCTCCGACATGACATCTGCAGTCGGTGTTCCGGCAATGTCTGGGCAAGAGTTGATCCACTGATGGAAATCCTCGAGGTAGTTCTTGTACAAGGTGTTGCGGATAATCTCAATGTTGAGTTCGTCGAGATCCTGATGGCTGAGCGAACCCTTGAAGTAGGGCGCGAGCGGTGTCTCAATGAGGACGGAGTTGTATAGTTCCTCGATGTTGGTCGCCACGCACAGCACGGGCATGGTCTCGAACCAGCCGAGAGGGTGACACCTTTCCAGCAACTCGCGCGTATCTCTCTCGTGCAGGGTACCCGTAATCAGCAGCGCGACATTGTCGATCATGTATCCGTACGTCAGATATTCCATGAACTTGGAGAGCGAGCCGGTGGCGTTGGCCTGGAGATAGCGGAACTCGGCCACGAGCTTGTCGGTGGTCTTCGCGGCGAGCGCAGACGTGGACGGGTTCGGAGGCAAGTTGTTGAGGAAGTCACCGTACGCGGGCGAGAGCTGCAGCTTGACATCTGTAGCAGTGTTAGAGCGGTTCCAGAGGCAGTAGCGACGGGGTGCGATGTACCGTCGATGGTTTCGCACTGGGTCAAGTTGCTGTAGTTCTGGCTGGTGAGCAGTGCATTGCGGTAACCGCGCACGATGCCCTCGATGTAACTGTAGAGAGATGTCAGATATGGATGAAGCGACGACAAACGCGTGTATCATACCCGTATTTGACGTTGTAGTAAAGGCCCTCCATGATGCTGATGCTGGCTGCTGTCGACCGTCGCAGGCAAAGAGCTCCAGCTTGGTCGTCATGCCAAGGCGTGGCCCGTGTCGCGCCTGCCTCGATGGTGCTGGGGTGTTTACGCGCTAGCCCCAATGGCCGGAGGTGCATGTACAACTTTCTTAACTCCATCGCAACTTCCCTTGCCAACGCACCCCGACAACGCAACCATCCCAACACACCTTCGCAGCTGCATCTGTCATCAGATCATTCACTGCTTATTGGCAATTGCATCGCAACTGCCTCGTACGTCCCCGCTGCTGTTGCGCACCGCTCCTACTGACCTCGCTCGCAGTACCATGTCCGCTACTACACGGCGCTCAACGCGTCGCACTGCAGCGACAGCGGCCACCGAGTCCTCGCAGCCCGCCTCCAGGCAAAGCTCACAGTCGGCGTCGCCTGCGCCAGAGGCTGCTCCCAAGAAGAAGCCCGGTCGCAAGCCCAAGGCTGCCGCCGCCAAAGTCGAGTCGCAGACCGTGACAGAGTCGCAGCAGACAGTCACCAAGGGTCGCGCTACGTCACGCGCAAACGCCGCTTCCGCTGTCACCACAACAACCACCACATCATCAACAACCAAAACCGCGACGCAAGCGCCTGTTGTCGCCAAGAAGCTCACCAGAGCCGGTCGCCAGGCGCTGAAAGAGGCAGGCGTAGAGGCTTCGCCGCAGCGCAGCCTGGAACAGACGAAGCCCGCCAAGCAAGGACGCGGCACAGCCCGCCAGAAAGTCACCAGCGAGAAACGAAAGGCAGTGGCCGCAAAGCTGGCGGCGGCTAAGGCCATCGAGAGCGCCGAAGACGAGGCAGAAGCCGAGAATGAAGATGGCATGGGCGCCTTCTTCACAAAGAGTAAGCACCAACTTCTCCATAGTTACACCCCTTCAGAGGAAGAAATCGACAACGAGCTCCGCAAGGAGAAGTACGAACAGCAAGAGAGGGAGATTGATCATCTCCGCGAGCGTGTCACAAACCAGGAGGCTCGCATCCAGAATCTCGTAGAGATGATGTGGCAGAAAGATCAGCAGATGTTCCTTTATGAGAACGAGAACCTGCGTCTGCGCACAGAAATCACGCGACTAGAGAATATTCCACACATTAGCTACGGTACTCCGGCTAACGTCAGTTACGCAGAATTCGACAGTGAACTAGTAGCAATCAGCGAGTCATCTCCGGCACATGGTGTGTTCGTGAATGGCAACGAGGAAGCCCTTGCGCTCCTCCACAAGATCGAGAGCTCTGCCAAAGAAACCAGGCGCGTTGAGCCCTCAAGCAACGACAGTGAAACATTCTCAGACAATGACGTCGCCATGGAACCTTCACCACAACAGCCGTCTGCTAAGAGAACCTTCGAGGATGTCACAGCAACGCCCAATCGCCCCGTCGCAACACCATCCAACATCTTCAGCAGGTCATTCTCTGCTATCAAATCCCGACTTTTCTCCTCGACCCCCAAGCCCCCGCCAACCCCCGAAGTCGCGTCACCCACCGTTACGAAGCCTCTACCACCCCAGAACACAATCACCGAGACCCTCTCCCTCCCACCTACACCTGTTGGCGAGCGCGTCAAGACGCCGAACAAGAGGCGTGCGCCCATGAACACACTGTTGAAACTACTGCTCAAGGGCGTCGACCGCAAGGACAGGCACAAGGCAGAGGAGTGGGCCAAGCAGGTCATTCCTGAATTGAAGAACGATCCTGCTTTCAGCGAGAAGCGTGCGCGTCTCCAGAAGGACGTGCTGTGCAAGGAGCTGTCGAATTTCCCCTCAGCTAAGCCTTGGGAGACTGGCTTCGGCGACCCGCTTGGTGATCTGGACGATGACGATGTTGTACCAGTCTGGGCTGTCTATCTCGATATCGTGGCTGAAGAAGAAGAGCACACCGCTAAGAAGCACAAGAAGACTCACGAATTCACCACAGGCGACGACGAAGTTCCTACCATCGATGAGCAGTTCGCCGCCAGCAACGGCGCGCGCACTTCCCCAAAGCTCTACAACAGCCATGGCCAGTCCGCTTCACTCCGTGACTTCCACCCTCGTCGCTCAATCGACCCATCACCCATGTTCAGCAACTCCATCTCACACAACACCGGCGGTAACATCTTTAGCGAACTACAAGGACACGACACCGCGGCACAGATCCGTGAGAACGATCGTGAGGTCCTGAAAAGCGCAACCAAGGAGAACACCCACTCCCATAACCCAGGCATGGGCTCTTTCAGCGTCCCCGATGATGATTCTGATGAAGAAGACTCTACAATGGGCAGCGAGAGCGCTGACGCTGAAGCTACTCCTATCTGGACCCAACCACCCCCACCAGCCCCCGTTCCTGCGCATGCTCCCCTGCCAGGCGGATCTACGGATGAAGCGTCTGATGTGCCCGAACCGCCCCCAACCCCTACCCGCCAGCAGCCTGGAGATGAGATTGAGCGCCAACGCCAGAGACTCATGAAGCACACACCCGCTAAGCCTTCCCGTCTCCGCGAGGCAACCTACCCATCACCAAGCATTCTATCAGAAGCTGGCAACGTGTCACTTCTTGCCGCTACTCCTGCACAGATAGCAAGTTCCGCATCGTCCATGTTCGACGACATGCCAGGAGCGGAGATTATCGAACTTGATGACGAATGTCAAGCTGAATTCGAAGAGATCATCAACAGCCACGAGTATCAGCAGAAGTTCAATGTCGAATGGCAAGCGCCAACCCTCACTTACGAGTCAGATGAGGAGGAGCCAAGCCCTACCTCCTCGTAAAAAATTGTTTATACTGCATTGTTTCGGCGTTCCTCACCTTCACACGAATCGAAATTGATCGGCCGGAATCAAATTCCTTGCCTGTGGGCATTCTTCTTATTGTATTGCTTTTTCTCTCGTGTTTGCATAGCTGTGCGTTGGTTTTCGCAAGTATACGACCTCGTGGGTTGGAAGATGCATTTCTTGTTGGCGTTCTCCAGGGGCATAAACACGGATGATTGACGAAAGCTGTATACCCCTCGGCCGTTGTATGGTCGAACACTAGGCGCACGTTTTAGCCTAGTAATTGCGTTGGTTTCTTGCTCCCATAGTCGCTTGTTTGAATAGCTTTAATATCGACCGAGAAACGTACATTCCTGAATATTGACACCCGTGAAATGATGAAGCCAGGATGATGTGATGATGTGAGTCGACAACAGGCGGCAGGAAGGAGTCGAAAGTACTTGAGGTATTCGCGATCTAGGCTTGACATCAAAGCTGTCAAAGTCGTTGCATTCGTGGTTGCCGTAGTCTGAACTCAGCGGGGAGGTTAGATGTTGCTGCGCTCTGTCTGTGACGATAGTCCGGATTAGGCAACTAACCGTCAGCCGTCGATCGCAGCAGTAGGTGCCTACATTATTACCACGCGCTGTCTGAACTTCGAAGACCCATATATGTTAGGTAAGCGGTCTACCGAGCGCACACCAATCGACCAAAACTCACCTTCCGACGATAAACAAACAATTGTAAAAATCGCGATGTCTTCAGAAAAGAGCCACCGTCGTAAGTAATAGCAGTTTCATACCGCTGTGCACGTAGTAATAGTTTGTGCAGTATACGTCAAAGCCCGCCATGTCAGCTACCAGCGCGGCAAACGCAACACAAACCCCAACGTGAGCCTTCTTGCGCTCGAAGGCGTCGACAGCACGCAAGACGCGCAGTGGTATCTCGGCAAGCGCGTCGCATATGTCTACCGCGTTGCCAGCAGCAAAGAAGAAGGTCCTCGTGTGATCTGGGGAAAGATCCGCAGGACACATGGTTCGTACAGCTTGTCAGACTTGCGAAAGAAAAGATATTGATTCAAGAACAGGCAACTCTGGTGTTGTTCGCGCATCTTTCCAGAACAACCTCCCGCCAAAGTCATTTGGTGCGAGTCTTCGGGTTATGATGTATCCCAGCTCGGTTTGAGAGCTGCTGGACATAGAGACGGAGATTCAGGAGCATTGGGACGGCGTTTGGGCGATTTGGGGAATGGCCAATAGCCAGGATAGGAGTTTGTCCGCAAGATTATATACCATGTCCATTGTAATGGATACAACATTCTGAAGTTCAATACTAGGCGCGAAGCATTGTATAACAATCCATCGTCAGGAATCGCGATGGACTTGTGAACTCCCTCGTCGAAGACCAAGAGTGACGGCAACTGTGGAGCGAGGCTGGGGAATGGTGTCTGTGCTGTGAAGGTTTACGGGTAACAGGTCCTCGGCGAGACTTCCTATATTCATCCACGGCTCTTCTGATGAGAACAGCACCACCAAGGCTGGCACCAAACGTTAGACAATTATCGCGAACCTAACTCATATGGTCTCAAAAGAGACATGAGAAGACTTACGTTTTCGTAGCAAGGCGATGCTGTCATCAAGTGTAAGCTCAAGAAGTTCAATGCAAGCGGTGCTGCCACCGACCGGACTTTCTTTTTCTTCGGTCTATCGCCGACGGCAGCCATCCGACAACCGCCCAGCACGCACCTCGCATCGAAAACCACCACCGGCCCTTCAACAAGGCCACACCGACACCGCGGCTTCTGAGATCGGCAAATGCGCCCCTGCACATCTCCAGTAAACGCTGTGCCGGTTGACAGATGGTCGAACCATACGTCACAGCGACATGCAGATCGTGCAGCACGTGCCGACGCCGCGCATGATGATCCCTCCAGACTACCCCGCAAAGGCGCCGCTTGCTACCCCAGAAGCCAAGATGCTTTCTACCCGCCTCCACACGAGAGGCTCGATTGCGCTGACGGGAGGCAAGGCATGCATGTAAGTGGGTAACGCTGCCGAAGAAGGTATGCCGTTGAGATGGATGATGTCGGGCTTTGCATTCTACCGAGATGCTTTAAAGGGTAGGGGTCGCCCATGGGGATGCAATTGTGCATTGCCCTGCCAGCCTCCTCACCCGCCTTTGCATTGAAGCAGACGCTGTGCAATATTCACACGATGGCGACAGTATTCGATCACGGCAAGCTCTCTACTGAGCACCAGCGGGCTGAGAATGTCGCAGAGAAGATCTCGAACTCCTCCGGAACTGGCGAGCTTGAAGCGCAAAATGTCGAACTGGAAGAGAAGGAGGCAGCGCGCGTCTTGAGGAAGGTTGACATGAGACTTGTTCCTATGCTGTCTCTACTCTATCTTGTTGCGTTTATCGATCGGAGTAACAGTACGTTGGGACATGTTCATTTCTGAGAATTACATTGGAACGAATTGCTAACGTGTTTTAGTCGGTAACGCGAAGATTGCTGGTATGACGGAAGACCTCAAGATGAACGGTATTCAGTACAACACTGCCGTTACTCTGTTCTTCGTCCCGTACACAATTCTCGAAGTACCCAGCAACATCGTGCTCAAGATGATGCGACCAAGTCATTGGATGGCGATCCTGATGTTCTGCTGGGGTCTCGTCATGACATTGATGGGACTCACGTCCAGTTACGGTGGTCTGCTCGCCGGAAGGTTCTTTTTGGGTGTAACAGAAGTAGGTCTACAGCATTTAGATCTTGACTGAGAAACAATTACTTACGCTCACAGTCTGGTTTCTTCCCCGCAGCAACATTCTTGCTTACTCTCTGGTACCGCCGTTTCGAACTCCAACGCCGTATGGCTGTCTTCTACGTAGCCGCCTCCCTCGCCGGTGCTTTCAGTGGTCTCCTCGCCTACGGTATCGAACAACTCGATGGACGCTCTGGACTCGCAGGATGGCAATGGATCTTCCTGATAGAGGGATTGATTCCAGTAGCGCTCGCGCTCATCATCTGGAAGATTCTCCCCGATAGTCCAGAGACCGCGAAGTTTCTGACACAACCGGAGCGCGACTTGCTTGTTTCCCGATTGGCCAACGACTCCGGGTCTGGCCAGGGACAAGCCACCAACAGCGACAAGATCGGAAAAGAACAGATTCTTGCTGGTCTTTCTGACTGGAAGATCTGGGCTGCTACGGTCGTTTTCTGGGGAAACACTGTTGGTGTTTATGGGTAAGCTGACGATATCCAGCTTTGCTGCGGTTTAATCTCTAACAATTTCATACAGATTCACTGCGACCGTGCCCTCTGTCATTCAAGGACTCGGATATACCAGTGCCAACGCTCAGCTCCTCACGATCCCCATCTACGTATTCGCCGCTATTCTTACCCTCATCTTCGCGTGGGCCTCCGATCTGACGCGCAAGCGCTCCCCATATATCATTGCAGGTTACTCGATCGCTGTATGCGGCTTCATCGCTCAGCTTGCGATTCCAAAGCCTAAATACCCTGGCATCACCTACGGTTTCCTCTTCCCCGTCGCCGGAGGTCTCTACTGCCCCTTCACATGTCTCGTTTCCTGGATCGGCAACTCTCTCGCCCCATCGTCAAAACGCGCTGTTGGCATGGCTCTGCTTATCTCCGTCGGAAACATGGGTGGAATCATGGGCAGCAACGTGTATCTGGCACGCGAAGCACCAAAGTACACGACAGGTTTCTCGGCTAGTTTGGCCATGTGCTGCACCGCGATTCTCATGACTTTGGTATTGAGGTGGGCGTATGCGAAGGAGAATCGCAAGAGGGATGAGCTGATTGCTGAGCATGGAGAGGAGGCTATTCGCGCGAGATACTCTGAGCAAGAGTTGCTGCTTATGGGCGATAAGAGTCCTTTCTACAGATATACCTTGTAGTTCACTCTGCTGGAGCATAGTTCGACGAATCCAGGTTTTTCGCATGTAACAAACACGATAATCCACATCGGTTCGTGTAAGCACAGCTTCATTAACAGTGCTGAAGTTTGCGCAACTTCAGTATTCAAGGAGAGCGCTGTGATGACTCTTGAGGAGAGACTGGAGTCGATGCCGAAGCAGAGCCCATGATGCGCACTGTGATTACAACGCTCTTCTGGTGTGATGAGCAGAACCTCAGATAGAGGCGAGAAGTGACTGGTGACTGAGCCACTCGTTTCCATTTATTACGATGACAGGTCTTACCAATTGTTCTTACAATGCTACAGTACTTGCATCCCAAGCGTGGTTCGCGTCATTGGAGAAACCAATGAGACTACCAATGACATCTCTATACGTCCAAGACGCGTACTGATATGGGTGAAGATGATCGTTAATTATAACTCAGGAGCCTGTGCTGTGTACAGCTTTCTCACAGCATCATCCCTCTTGACTACTAACAGCCAAAGACGAGTCGTAAAAGCGTAGCGGAAAGGCAAAGGATAAATTACAAGCAACGTTTCGCAGGAAAATGATCTTGTTGTATACTAAGGTACTGAGTTGGGATTTTGCGGAACAACTTTGCCGGCATTACATATGAATGACCTAGTGCGCCGTGAACATGGGCAGTGGTAGCTTGAAGTCCCATGGAATGGGTACGCTGGGATGTCCATTGCCCATTGGGCATGGCTCAGTTGGAATCCCATACGGATCATTCCAACGTATACCATTGTTGTTCTGGCGACGACGCTGCCTTTCTTCTTCACGCTTCCTGGCATCTTCTGCTTCTTTCTCTCGGGCCTGCCGCTTGCGCAGATCTTCGCGTCGCTTGCGCTCTTCTTCGTCGTCTGTCGTGTAATGTTAGCAGGTTACATGAAGACGCAGGCTGTACGTACCGGAGGTAGAAGGCTTCTTCTTCGGTTTGACATGCGTGGATGTCTCGATGATGAGCAAGCCAGGCCACTTCAAGATGACGCGGACGACGAGTGACAGGGTAATAGCATCGGGAGGAAGTTGCGAGTGATCCGTGGACAAGAACAGTGCAAGAGACAGTTTGTCTCCATACTCCATGAGTATGGAGAATGATGGAATGTTCATCGTAAGCCCGAACGACATCTTGGGATGATGTGCTACATGACCCATCAGTTAGTGCAAGTACTCTCGGGCAGAACGTTAAGAGCACTGGGTAGGGTACGCACATCGTATCGAGAGATCCAGTTGAACTGCGGTATGCCTGAATGTGTTGTGACAGAATAACTGACGAAGGAGTCTCAGAATCTAGCTGTAGTGGAGGGATACCGGATAAGCTTCAAGGTCACCCGCAGAATATATATTTACAATCTAGTGCTCCGTATCTTCTCGTCGTTTTGTGGGCTCATTGCATCCACGCGCTATGGAATGTCTTGATAATGGCCGGTCTTGACCAGCGCTAGTCTAAATCTCTTGATTCCGGGTCTGCCCCAGCGGGCCTCTGGTCAGAACGGCCGGGACCTGAGCATAGTATCGAGAATGGCTGGTCTTGAGAGTGGCCGGTTTTGAATGTGACCAGTCCTGGCCATGGCGGGCCTTGAGTATGGCGAGTTAGGACCGTGGCCGGCCTTGAGTTGGCCTGGTCTTCAGTGGGCCGGCGCCAGTTGGCCTGTGGTGAGAACGGCCGGTCGTGAGCATAGCCAGCTGGTCAGTAGTGAGAATGACCGGTCTCAAGCACAGCTTGTCCTGACATAGCCGCTGGCCGTAAGCATGGGAGGTCTTGAAACTGGCCGGTCTCGAAAATAGCTAATCCTAAAATAGTCAGTTGCGGGAAAAAGTAATCCTTGGGAAATGACCGGTCTCAAAAGTGGTTCTCTAAGGACATTCTCCGCTGGGGCCAGTCATCAGGGGTTCTCGCTATGAGTAGATACTTTACACTACTTTATCAAGCTCAAGTCCACTGAAGGGACGTTCTGCTACAATCAACGATGAACGAGTTGGGTGATCGTGCGGGATTGATGACAGCGTGGGGTATCTACCTAAGAGCCTCCCGTTTCAGACTGCAATGTGGCTTCTCGTCCTGCACACACTTAAGTAGCCACTTGCGCATCATGCGGGAATCTACCGATGGCATTTCCAGGCATTTCTCATTGACGTCATCGCCCTAATGTTGGAGTTGTGTGAGTTGGTGAAATCGAAGAATCACCGGTCGACGGCGCCACCACGACTCGGCTAGGTAGGCAGGTAGCCTTGCGCGAAGTGAGAAAACGAATAAAGAGTTATTGCCTCCCATAAAGATACGTAGGTAAAGACTGACCATCGATGGCGCGTCAAGATATCCACGGGTCAGATGGATTTGCGCGCAAATGGGTTACCCAGCCATTTGGCAGAGAGCGGGATGCACGCGAACATGTGATTTGCCGGAGAAAACCCGAGCGCATCTCCCGCCGGTTTGGGGATTTGCCAAGCTCAACCGGCGATAATCCAGCTTCGCCGTTTGCTTACCACCACGTGTCGGTGAGTCAGTGATACAATCACACGGCTTTCAGTCATGTATAATACGCATTTCCCCTAGAACTGCTTCATTTCCCAGACACTGTAACTCTCCAACTACAGAGACGATGTACCCTTCTAATGATACACCGCAGACTGCCAACCCAGCACTTCTTCGTCGCTCTAGCCATCAAAATCCTCGCGAACCGAACCAAGCAAATGCACCATGCGCCCCAGACGTAGTGCAGGAAAATGAACTGTGTATCGACTCACATGACCCTGATGATGCACCACACAATGCAGCATTTCCCGGCTGGGGGCCGTCTCTTTTGGCCCATGCGCACCCTCACCCTGCACAGTCGTTCATTCAAGGCCAGAACCCCCTCGCAACCGTACCGATAACTCAACCCTTTGGGTTGTATACGAATCAATTTGAGTCATTCGCAGATCAAGCGAATGTTGCTGGTAATGAGGCCTCCTACTACCGGCCGCACCCAACGTATAACTCGAGCGGGGGTTATCCTCAGCCGGCCCACTTCTTACCGAGCCATGGAGCTGAGTGGTATGGAAGCGTTGCATATGGTAGTAATGCTATGCATGCAGGTAAGCGTATTCGAAGCTGTTTCGCAGTTTCGCATTCAGAATGAAGTGTTTGCTAATGGAAATGTGTGACGACAGGATTAAGTAGAATGCATCAAGGCGTCGCAACCACTCATGAGGTGTCTCTACCTTTCGACATCAACTCTACACAGATATCAGATCCATCATCAGACTCCCCGTTCATCAATGACAGTTTTATTACCCCAGACTGGGACCTAATCGGTTCGACATCTTTCCCTAATTCTGTATCGACTGGAACGGGCAGTTGGGACATGATTGCGGACCCGAGGATGAATACAGGACCATCTCCTCGTCAATTGGAAGCTGCCATTCGCAATATACCCACTGCGTCCGATCAGACCAGTCCTCCCTCTTGCCACCCATCTTCCGGACAGGTCGCAAGCAGTGATCCTTTCTCGAGCATCATCAACCAAATCCCGATAACCAGCCAGCTATTTGAGACTTCTGCCCATCTATTGCAGCCCCAAGAGATGACGTATACACACGGCAGTTCCAGTACTATGAATGCACCCCAGGAGATCTCAGTGAACGTAGGACCTGGAAGCGGAATTGCACTTGCGGAAACTGATCAGAATGCTGTTCAAACATTCAAACCCGCCTCTAAGCGTAAATACAATGAGGAGAAGAAAGCAAAAGTTAAAGAGACGCGCGATAGGTCCTCATGCATATTCTGCCAGCTGCGGAAAAAAGAGGTACTTAAAATCAGTGCGCTACCTCACAAACTCTAAGAGTGCTTGCTGACATCTCCAAGTGCGAATTCACTCAGGATTCTGATGAATGCGATGCCTGTCTCAAGCACCGGTCAACCGACTCACCTAAGAAGATCTGGGATCTGCCTTGTGTTCGTGTGCAGCTCAAGGAAGCTTTGGTATATCGCAATGGTAAGATCTTCTCCAGCAAAGGCTCTGATGCAACATACTGACAGATCGTATAGGCTCCATAAGATTCCCCACTGGTGTGCACATAGTTGGACGTTGGGACAACAAAGTCAGCAAGATAATTCGACTGTCTTTCCCTGTAGGAGCTTTTCCTGGAACGGAAATCATTCAGCGAGGCCCTTGCATAGATATCCAATGCCGTGGGTTTCAAAGGAACAATATTGACATCCTCTCTCGACAATATGTTTCGCCTTCGGGAATGAAGGAGGTGAAGTTTCCGCCTTTCGCTGTATCATCTCCAGTGGGCGCCAGAAAAGCGCTGGAGGCTCTTGTCGACAACAACCTTGCCTACTTCGTCAACGTACTCAAGATTAATGCACATGTCCTCCACCGAATCACATTTGACGAAGCGATGAGGCAAGCACCTGAGGTATGCATGACACTGAAACTCAGCGCAGTCCACTAATTATTAAGCAGAGCTCACTCGTCAAGGGAACGCTAAGAATTGCAGTCATAGCTAGACTGATTTCAAAAAGTTTCGGAATTATCGGCACAGAAACGCTCGGTATACCGTTTGAGAACGACCCGAGCTCACCTTACTACGGACGCACCCCGATACCGCCAATGTTAGATGCACAGCTTGACGAGATCTGGCGAGACATCTTGTCTAAACAAAAGAAGAAAACGCTTGCTGAGCTGAAGCGCAAAGTCTTTTCGAAAAAGCGTCGACAGTGGCTGGAGACGTTCTTGGCCATCTTCATTCTTTTGCAAACTATTGAGTTCTCGTACCAACACCAAGTTCGTCAGCTGGAACGGCATCGAAAGGCTGTAGGTTGAGACTATTCTATTCTCGTATTCACTGACTGACGTGATATGTTTGGCAGCATCCATCAAGTATACCTGACTTCGCAACGGCCACTATGTTGGAACAGTGGTGCCAATCTGCCAAGAATCTGCTGTGGCATTTCGAGGTTGTTTGCGGAGGCACGATACCATTCCAGCCTGGCTGGATTTCGTCCGAAAACCTACAGTTGGTCTCTCTTGACGCACATTCCACAGCATATCTGCGAGACCTGCTACGCCTAATTGGGGAAAATCGTAAGGCTAATGACCTGTCACTTGTGAAAGAAATGCTGACTAGATAGGTACCGAGCTGTTGGATGCAACCGAAGGGGCTGTGGGTACGCCTCTTCACTGGACTGCGCTACTTCTCATTTCGAAAAAGACTTGATTGTGCGTGAAGCGCATTGATGTCGACCTTGGTCATAGAGATCATGGTCTGGCACGATTCTCTCTATGGACTTGCAACGTATGGTAGAGCAGACAAAGTCCACGGGAGCTTCTGACTCCTCTGGTCATGATTGTATAAATCCTCCATCATTCCGCGCAACTCGGGTGGCACGCTCCAACCGTTGACACTATCGTGCAAATACATACGCAACAAATGCCTGCGACAGCCGGTCAAGTCGGAATTGACGAAAGATTCTCTCGCATGAAGTATGCCGAGGTTATTCAGAAACTGAACGTCACCAGTCTCAAAGCGAAAAGTCAGCGCCACCTCGGATGCGACTTGATCCAACACATTGAGTGCTAGAAGCTGCTCGTCTGATATGGCCGCTAGGCTTGGGTTTCGAGGGTAACCGGGAGACCCCAGGAAATATCGCCGAGCATAGTTCAGGATGATCTTTCCTTTCTCTTCGAAGAGCAAAGGTCGCCGAAAGGGTTCGGAGTTCTTGTCGCAGCTTTTTCGCAGATCAGTAGAATCTCCTATCATATGCAGACAAAACTTACGAATCCCATTCCCAGTCCGTCTTCAAGAGCTCCAGAACTTTGGGATGCCTGGCTACCAGTATATCGTACACTGCTTTTACAGACGCCAGCTTCGACCTACCGCCTTTACACGCGGAGTGCAGGCTGTAGAGTGCAAGAATATGGCAGCTGTCATTATGAAACGGCTGATGTTCATTCAGTACGAGATGAAGCTCAATCAGAGGGTTCCCGGTGTATCTTACCAATGCTACATTCTTGTTGGCTTGCGGTACCAGCTGATCGGCAGCCATAGGCTGCCGGTTCGATGACAAGTCGATGACATGAGCTGTATACATCATCAGCAAAACTCTACGCTGTCATAGTGAGATGTACTCAGGGCCGGCCCGCCCTTGTATTGGAGACCACGTCGATCTCCAACGTAACTGGCGATACCAGCGAAGATCAAAATGCTGCGTTTTCCCTCATATTTGGAAGGCTCGAGGCCCCTCAATACGAAAAACCCTCTGCCTTCATGCAGTTCCTTCCTCAAGCGCAAAAGCTTTGGTCCCACTTCCGGAAGTGGGAATACAGTGGGCGAGACTTCGGCTACAGGTCTTCCAGATGCTGTGGCATGCGTTACTCGTGTCGATCATCTGGGTGCTGGTAGCATACCTGCGAACTCCTGGGCGGCGGCTTCAATCTCCCGAACCTCGCAGACGGACAACTTTACAACGAACTGCTCAGGGGCATCCTCCATCTCGTGGTCATTCGATGCTGGTATGATCATTTGCTTCCCTGTGAAGGCACCTTTAGGCCTCCATGGATGCATTGCTCCATCGAGACTTGTGGAAAGTTCATTCGAGATGAGCCTTGCAGGGGACATCGTGAGTTTGGACAGGTATTTTTGGAAACAAAGCAAGAATGTATATCTTCAATGGCTTTGTGGCTAAGGGGTGAGAATGAGCGGCGCTGAGGTGACCGCTCTTGCGCACGCTCTCTTTCTCCTATCTCTCCGCAGGCACGCTAATGGCATATATCAACCGACACATAAGCCCGATACCTGTTCTAAAGCTACATTGACAAGAAAGCGGGGTAATGGATAAACCTTCAGATGTATCATAAGAGCAGGCTTGCATGTCCCAGGAAAAAAGAGGCCAGTCAAAATCAGCAGCACCGCCAATGACCGAGACCGCCTACACACCTACCGCGCATGCGCTGTAACATCATCCGCATTTCCAATTACCGTGTGATCGAGCTCGGTCACGATCTTTGGGTACGATTAGTATATGTTCTGCCTGCATGATGGTGGCGCAAGGCTGAGACTCAGCCTTGTGAGAAGAAAGCCCTTTCGCTTACAGCTCTCTCCAAGTCGGTTCGTGGTCAATACATGATAAGGCTATGATGTTGGGTGCTTATAGCCTAGAACACGGCCTAAACCTATCTGTTATAATCGCGCATACACCAGTCCTGGCACTCAGCATGAGATACTTGCAAACCTTGTCAGCGGGCAAGTGGGCTGACCATCGCGCTCACCAAAGTCACTTCACACGAAGCTCGCTCCCTTTGAAACTAGGAAAGCAAGGCGTCTGAATTGCTCCTACTGATAAAGGCGCAGTGCCGTGCTTTTCGGAGAAGATCGACTTGAGGGACGCATGCGCAGATCCCCAAGCCTTGAACTATTCCCCCTTATCATATCGTCCCGCGGTGGCACGATGCAGGCAGGCCTGGGAAACTCGAATCTGGCCAGCTATAGGCCCGTCCACACCCTCAGTCCGGCACCATGCAGGATGTAATGTAATCGATCACGGATGAGCTTGCCACTTTGATGCCGTATGACGCAACCTTCGTTATTGCGACGCAATTTGACTGGTATGAGTAGCGTCATAAGATCCACGTCCCCACTTCCTCCCACCATTAATTGATCCTCAAAGGCTACGCATATCCAATCGATACACGGCGCGAGGGAAGGCTGAGAATCGCCCGTGAACCGTGTGACGGTCATCCGGATCCCTTGGCGACATGTTCATACGCCCAAGACGTACATGATGGTGGTCTAGCAACATCAAGACTGTAGCCCCACCATCTATCTCATCAGCTAGGATATTCACCTATAACCTTTTACGGACGGTGTTAGTTACGAATTTGTGGCAGGATGAACATAGATCATCGTTCGCTAGCATTTGCATCAATGAGGTTTATCAGGCTTTACCGGACATGCGCAATGTCTCCAACGTGCTTATCTAGGCGGCTGTGTCGAGAACGATTGCTATGGATGCATGCATTGTCTTCAATACCGCGGCATGGTTGCATTAGCTTCACTGATCCTAGTAGCATCCGTACGAACCTGCGGAAACAGCGTCCGAAATGACGAGGTCTGGGCGGGAGTACATGATGACCTCAATGACTTGCCTGGAAGCGATGGTAGTCCTGGCCAAGTCATCGAATGAGGCGGTAGGGTGCCTTACTTCGATGCCAGCGGTAAATCATCAACTATGCGTATGCAAGTACATGAGCTGTTGGTCTTGCCATGCGAGTATTGACAACCAAAGCTATGATCTGCACGAACAGGCGTAAGTTCTCAAGAGGCATATTGGCGGAAGCCTGGCGATTTGCCCTATGCTGCACCTCAGAAGGAGGACGTTGACAGCAGACGAGGCGATGCTTACACAGTGGTTTAAGGTAGCTAAGAGTTGCGCCAGATTAGACGCGAAACAAATGCTTCAGAAACTCACCACTTGCCCCAAGCTCGAAGAGACGTCGCCTCCATCGACCGAAACACGTTCTTAAGCGTTTCACTACTCTAATTTTGTGGTAATTGGTCTGCGGTATGCAGGGCTCAGCTGGGTATCATGCCGTTGCCCGCTTTCTTGACGTTGACACTAGGATTCCAGTCATCCGGAGGTTCGGAGTATTGAACACGCAAGACCTATTGTACATGCAGGCTGAACTCGTGCAGCTCGAGAGGGAATTGGAATGCATTTCACGGGAGGATGCGGAGAGTCAAGACGCCGATCGGACAGCCTATCGTCACTCGGCGCAGGCTTTGCAGCAGTCGTTGCAGCGCGGGGATGACTTCCAATGGAAGAAGGTACTTGAGATCCGCGAGAAATTGAGACAGTACAGTACTGAAGCCCAAAGAGGGTTCAAGAGCTATTGTAGCTGATTGGATGTAGATGAAGCTGTGATTCGCTATCACAAACTCCGATGCATGCCGCAGCCAACGCCATGGGCTATCAAGAATATCCGACACATCCTCAACATTCCGAAACACGCGGTCTACTATCTCAGAGATGCAGACGCCGAATCATGGGATGTTGAAAGAGAGTGCGACCTAATGGCGCTTCAGCGGCCTGAAGAGGAGCCTGACCAGTTCACGAAGTGGACGAGAGCGTCATTATTACCATGTTTGCACAAATGCTTTTGCTGGCGTGTAAAGGTTTGTTTGCGAGATGAGATGCAAGTAAAAAGTACCCTTAGCTGAAGACGTGCAGACACCCGACCCGGAAACTGAACTGGTGCCATACAGCGAGAAGCGCATCCACATCTTCATCACCATTTTTCGAAGTTGCCTTGCAACGATATTTCCAGCAATCACCATGATCATGCTGTATGCAGTCTCGCGCATGGTACTCCGATTGCTACTCGTACTCGTCTTCTCTGCGCTTTTCACGGCTGTAATCGCATTTTGCACAAGGGCTCGCGCAATCGAAACTTTCATGGCTACCGCGGCGTAAGTGTCTATTCCTCAATTATGTCGATAATTGGGAGATACGTAACTGATCAACGTCTAAGATTCGCGGCGGTACAAGTTGTTTTCGTTAGCGCTACATCAGACACGAGTTCAGGCTAGAGCAAGTGAAGTGTTTCGCCCCGCGGCCCCGGCGACCTGATCTTGGAAGCGTTGCTACAGTGATTGGAACGCACATAGAAATCTGTCCCTGTAAACATTTTGAGACTTGCTTTGAACACCGTCATCTACGACTGTCCATATTATAGAACTGTGGAGAAACAATGCAACATCTACATATTCTAGTCTGGTGTCATTCCCTCAATAGCAACTATATATCGAGCATACTGACGTAGTAATTCCTCTGTGTCAAGGATACAGGTAACGAGATTCGCCTTCAACCGCGTGGGATGATATGCAGTGTCATTTGTCAAGATATGCATGAGTGAGCACATTAGACAGATTGTGATGGCCGACCTGCAGGCAGACATATGTGGGAACATCCGCACGTAGACAGGTTTTCTGGTGATCGAAGCGAAGAAACCGGACGCGTACAACCGGGTTCCAATCGCTGCACAGCGGCTGGTCGGCTACGGATCAATAATCCAAATCCGGCGGGGGCTGTGATGCGCCGGATTTGGAGGATTGACCGGTTTGAAAGGCGGGGCAAGATATGTAGGACGAAAATGAGGCTATAGACCGGTCAAGCAACTGGATTGGTTTAAGAGAGCACCGAAATATTTAAAGGAGAACCTCGACCGCGAAGGTTTGAATCTTCTACACAGATCACTACTTACCAAGGCAAATCTTAACCCTACTCCGAATTCCAGCAACTTCTTGACTCAACCCAATCCCTCTCAAAAGGTGAGTGTACCACTCACAGTATCTAACTTCTACGTGGTTCGAATGCTAACATTTAGGCCGGTAGGTCATCATGCCTGACTACTATGAAGGCCACAAAGTGAATCAGAACGACGGTATGGATATAGAAGAAGACAAGCAGCCTGACCCGAACCGATTTGGCGAAACTCCTGGCGAACCCGTGGGGGACATTGAGTACGACAAAGGCCAAGTTGGTCGGGAGAAAATCGAAGGTGTAGACCAGCAGGGTACCCAGCAGCAAGTGGACGCCCATCAGCAGCCGCCGGATCTCGAAGAAGGCGGGTTTGATGAACAGTTAGATCAGCCGGGTGATGGCAAGCAGAAGTGGAACTCGCAAGAAGGGTATGCGCCTACAGAGAGCAAACCATCATCGTAGCGTTATGAACGCATGAAACTTGCGTGTATGATAGTATTCAGCAGAGTCATGGTGATAGTTGAAGACGATGCACCGGAATAACAAATCTGATGACTTCTGGGCATGAGTGTCTACAGGTGACAGGCAAATTGATTCGTCAAAAAAGTGTCGTGTGCGACATCGTATCATGCAGTAATACGAAAGCATGTAACCATATGATCGATGAACTCACGCTGCATCCATTATCAGCGGTAGTGCGCGTGCATCTGCGGGAAAGCTTGAGGCACCCTAGCCTTCACATCCTAGAGAACCCCGCAATCCAAAGGATTGATCCTTGAATGCAACAAGACCAATGAGCTGGCGTCATGCCAAACGATGAGCACCATTGATCGAGAACTTATCCGGGTAGCCTCTGGCGTTATATGACGCCGGTTCCCGCGATCTGCATTCTTGCTGCATACTCGGATGAGCTCATCTAGACTCTCCTTCTCTTGTAATGGCTGCCTGGAATCTCGACGTCCTCTCTGGTCTCGTCCAGCGTCTGGGCGCGGGCTTAGACGCCTTAAAGCAAGGCGAGATGGACTCCGCAACGTCTTTCGCAACTCAGAAGGAGTTGACTACGATAGCCGAAGAATTCGTCGCTACTACATCTGATCCAGCGCAGTCAGTGAAGAACCTTGCGCGAGGGGTAAGTGCGCCCAAAAAGGCTTGGAGCTGGGTCAAGAAGTTGTTGGAACCAGATTAACTTTTGTAGTACACTGCTTCTGTGGCATTGAAGATATGTCTTGATCTCGATTTGGTCCACGGTTTTCCAGATGACGGTGGACATGTAACCTTGTCAGACCTTGCGGAGGGAGTGAAGGCTGACGAAGCTGTCCTCGGTAAGACTCCTAACCATTGAGGAGTGGAAAAGCTGTTTATTAATGCTCGATGTTGAAGGGACCGTCTTGAACCTCTTGAGTAACCACGGTGTTTTCAAGAATCGAGGCCCGTCGCAGTGGAGCCATTCCGCTAGGTCGATGACTTTGCTAAAGCCATCGTTCAACGACCTCATGTCATCGTTGTAAGTTCTCTACCCGGTCTTGAACCTGTGATGGTTACTCATTTCATGATACTGTTAGACTTAACGAGAGCTTCAAAAGCTGCTTCACGCTGCCGGAAACTCTGCAGAAATCCCATTATCAACTACCATCGCCCGGCCATACCGCCTTCAACGAATACCACCACACCGGTATGGATTTCTACAAATATTGTGCCACACAGGATACCGTGATTGGAGCGAGGTTCCAGCGAGCCATGGAAGAAGTCGCGTCTGCCAGCTTACGCTTCTTCGAAGCAGCCTATCCGATCCAGCAACTAGCGAACTTCTCACTAATTGTTGACGTGGCCGGAGGCGCTGGCTATACATCGATGTTCTTGGCTGAACGACTTCCGGGGCAACAGTTCCTGGTATGTGACTACGCGAGCGTGGTCGAACAAGGTAAGGCTCAGTGCCCGATACATCTGAGCGCTCGCATTCGGTACGTGGCGCACGACATGTTCCAGCAGTATGATGCCTTGAGTGCTGGAGGGGAAGAAAGGCGTGTGTTCTTGCTGAAGCAAGTTCTGCATGACTGGAGCGATGCGCAGTGCATGAGTATCCTATCAAATGTCTTGGATGTTCTTGAGACAGGAGAGCTGCTTCTCATTGTCGATTCAGTTAAACCGAGCGAAAATGTCAGCATGAGCACTTCCATGTCTGAGCTCCTCGTTATGAGCACGTTCGGAGGACGGCATCGTACGTACGCAGAGTTGGAAGCTCTGGTACGTGCTGCCCGCGCTGATATTTCCATACGTACAGGTTTTGCGAATGCTGGACAGTACGATGATTTCAAGGTGCTAGAAGTTCAGATATCCGGTGATGGTCGATAGGTACCAGCCGAGAGGCAACCATCAGCATGGCCTCCAAGTGCCCTGTCAGTCCTCCGAGGCTGGACTTTGGATAGTGAACAATATATTATCTCAATCGGAATGCTCACTCACGGCCGTGAGCCTGAGAACTGTAGAGATAGTATTAGCAGAAGTACATTGCTGTGGCAGACGTGCTACGTCAACTTCTGCGCATCTGATGCAAGATGTGTGACGCCATGACTGCGACAGCGTTTTCATTGCGATGATTAGCTTCATTGCTCATCACAATACTCTTATGCAGTTGGAGCAGGCAGTGTGAAATGCGTCGGTGATCGGACGTATTGATGAAGCGATAACGGGATTTGGGTACAGGAGGCATACGCGCCGCGGTCGGTTGGAGGAACGCGACAGTGGGGCGACCCTCGGGAACTTTCTAGATCACGGGCGGCAGCTGCCTGGCGCGACTAACTTTCTTTCAACCCTCCCATACCTTGAAGGATCGCGCAAACATAATTATACGGACGTTCCAACGCGCTACAAATTTTTATCGCACGATCGCGCAAACTACATATCGACTCACCGTATCGAGTCTAACAACCCCGCCTTCGCTGCCGGCCATCTCGACCAGCCATCCTCCACGGTCGCACACCTACAACCCCAACTTCAGCCACACGCGTATCCACCCACCATGGGCTCCGTAGTCCTCCCCCACCTCCGCACAGGCTGGCACGTCGACCAAGCGATCCTCAGCGAAGAAGACCGACTTGTCCTCATCCGCTTCGGCCGCGACTCGGACCCCGACTGCATGCAACAAGACGAAGTCCTCTATAAGATCGCCGACCGGGTTAAGAACTTCTGCGCCATCTACCTCTGCGACCTCGACGAAGTCCCCGATTTCAAAGCCATGTACGAGCTCTACGACCCGTGTACCGTCATGTTCTTCTTCCGCAACAAACACATGATGTGCGATTTCGGAACGGGAAATAATAATAAGCTGAATTGGGTGTTGGAGGATAAGCAGGAGTTTATTGATATTATTGAGACGGTTTATCGGGGTGCGAAGAAAGGAAGGGGTTTGGTGGTTAGTCCGAAGGATTATTCCACTAGGTACAGATATTGAGGGGAAGCTCATGATGGGGGCACCAGGTTGGATTCATGGCGTATTTGGGATTTGGACACCAGTAGGAGATTGATACCAGTATGGAAGAGCTTGGGCGCGGTTCCTGCTCCGAGTTCAGGAGACATGGAGGAGCCGTGTGTAGGAAGTCGTAACGCAGCGAATTTGAAGGTACGACTTCATTATTACGATATCTCTGAGACGGCTTACTTAGACGTCAGATGTCATGTGGGACGTAGAGAAGGTCCTGGTCATTCGGCCATTGTTATGCGCACCGCAAACGCAAAATGACATCGCATTTCTACAGTCTCCGCTCTCTTCACGGCCCTGTCTTCTCTGTCGGCGCTCTGACGCTATCTTCCCATAACCCACCCCTGACGCCCCGCCAAACGGTCTCCAGTGTCGCCCTTCTCGGTAGCAGTCTCGGAAAGACGACCACCACCTCTCCTTCTCCTTCCACTACGATCATGAGGAAGAACCTAACTTCAAATCCCTTGAAAGCCTCGTGTATGAAGACGTCCTGTATACTTGTGGTTGGTATGAAGCGCGTAGTAGGTGTCTGGAGATACGTAGAGGAGGTGGTAGAGGTCTGGACACCGAGGCCCCGGAGTACGGTGAGTGATTCTTCTATGATCTGTATTAGCTTGGGCTTAGGGGAGGCTGAGAACGCGGCAAAGGATGTACCTGTATAGTTTCGGCGGAAGACCAGAAAGAGTATGAGCAATGTACTGGGTACCAGATATCGCCATTGGCAAGCTTCCGCCAGCTTTACTAGTTGCCTTTCTGTCTCATGGCCCAATGCACCCAGCGACAGATCCAGAGACTGAGCTTGTGTGACGCGCCATTTCATCCATAACAACAGTATACTGGCTATACCCAGCAGCACTCTCGTCAGTATCCCTGCATAGTATGCTACCAAGGCGGGAAGTGTCTTGGGTACAGAACGCGTCGAGACAGTGTATGTGATGGTCGACGATGTGGGCTGTAGGACTTGCAGTGTCTGCGCCGGCGGAGAGTTGAAGCGATCGATAAGCTTCAACATCATATTCGAATTGAAGGAGGCATCGCTAGACGGGGACAAGTACAGAGGGCGGAATGTGGGGTGAAAGGAAGCGTCGCGGGACGGGATGACGCGCTCTGCTAGCTTCCTTATCGATAAGCCCGAAGCTGAGCTCACGTTTTCCACGAAGCTGCCTTACCTGCACTTGCTCTTCCCTCTCCACCAACACACCACACATCCCATACACACATCAACAGCTATGGAGTCTTCAAAAACAGAGCGCTCCCGCTCTCGCTCCCCACGAAGATCCCCCGGTCCGCGCAAGCCCAAAACCTTTAGCGGCCTCAAATACAAAGGCGACCGCGACCGCCGCGACCCAGACAGACGACGCGACGATCGCGACCGAGAGCGACGACCACGAGACTCAGATCGCGATCGCGAGCGCAGACGCGATGGCTCCAGAGAACGTGACCGCCGTCCTCGAGACAACTCCCGCGAGCGCAGACGAGACGGAAGCCGCGACCGGCGCCGCCGTTCTCGCTCTCGCGACCGCAAACCACGAGACAGCGACCGCGACAGCAAACCCAAAGAGAAGAAACCCGCAGCCGCTCCTGCGGCACCTTCTGAGCACATGATCCTCGTCACTATCAATGACCGTCTCGGAACAAAGACACAAGTGCCGTGCCTGCCCAGCGACCCTATCAAGCTGTTGAAAGCCATGGTGGCAGCGAAGATCGGTAGACCGGTGCATGAGATTATGCTTAAGAGGCAGGGAGAGAGGCCGTTTCATGATAATTTGACGTGTGAGGATTATGCTATTAGCAATGGCGTGCAGATCGATTTGGAGTTGAATACTGGGGATTAAATGGGGGATGGTGGACTTTGGAATACTGGGATTAAGGTGAAAAAAGGCGAAGGGGGATTGAAGGATGGATTACCGTGGCCAAAGATTGGAAGATGCAGCAACAAATCATGATACCCAATGAAGTTTCTCTTTTGCTCGACCAGGCATAT